GATTTCTAAAGAGTTTTGCTAAGTACTATAAAGTACGTATGTTATTGCATTCTACTTCTACTAGTGACTTTTACATGACATTTAAAAAAACTACCAAAAACTAACCGAACCATACCAATATCGAAGAGAAACCGACATGATTGAGACGGTTTTCAAAATTTTACTTTTGGTTATACATAATAGAACAACCAAAAAATTGGTATGATACAAATTTATAAAATAACCGGCTGAACCAAACTACTGACACCCCTATCTAAAAACTACTGATAAACGACTATAAATGTATATTTTTCGGTGTACTTTTATCTCATAACTTGTGTGTTTACGGTAGTTTACATGATTTTTTTAGTGAATTATGCTCATTACGTGCATTCTTATGTGTATGAGCAAGTTGAACGAAAAGTGAGCAAAAGAAGTTGATTCGGAACCAAAAGACAAAAGAAGGACTTTGCTCGTTCACTCTCGCTTGCACACGAGAGAGTGAATGAGCTAGATGAGGACAAGCTTGAGAAAAAACAGCGGATTATGGCAAAAAGGCATGAAAGTGCATGAGAGATCTAGAAGGAAAAGAAGGAGAGAAGCACTTCGCTCGTTCCGTCTCGAATGCGCACGAGAGGGTGAACGAGCTAACCTAAAGAGGTTGTTCCAAAGTGGGCTTGTATTATTTTCGCCCCATGATAATCCTATCCCATAGAAATATTCTCTAAACTCACTTTTTGAGGAGGATCGAAAGGAAGGAGGCAAGAACACAAAGAAAATAGTACGGCGGAGAATTCCTCTACGAGTTTTTTACTTTCTTCTTCATATTTTCATTGTTGGTTATGCCTTTTTATATTGTAATCTTACATAATATTATGAGTAGCTAAACTCGTCATCTAGGGTTTATGGAACCTCTTGGAGGATGAATTTTTGTTGCGTTTAATATAAGTTTGCCATTGAATTTTCTCTACTTGTTCAACTACGTGATTACTGTGGTTGATTGAAGGGCCCTCAATCGACTGTGCCTATTTAGTGTGTATTGCTTGGAAAAGGATTCATATTTAGGTAGTTGTTGGCCAACATCACTCCTAACGTATATGAGGAATCAATACGGAGGGTTTAAAGGTGGGATTAGAAATAACGAAACCTTGGTGCGATATTAGTGAGCGATAAGCTAGTGCTAGCTAGCGTAGTTCGGAAGAATACTTCTATAAATTGTTGTATTTGCTGGAAGAGAATTACAACTAGGGGTGTTCATGGTTCGGTTTGGATCGATTTTTCCCTAAAAAGAAACCAAACCAAGTAAGTCGGTTTTTCAAATATTAGAACCAAACCAAACCAATTAAGTCGGTTTTTCTCGATTCGGTTTTTTCGGTTATTTGTCGGTTTTTTCTTAAATATAAGACATACACTACCAAACACATATTCCGGCGACAACATTTTCAATGTAACACTATCAAATCAATTGCCCTTTGAGAAATCTATTATTTACCAAAATATATTGATGATAAATGAATCAAATAGTGATGAATAATTTAAGGACTTATTTAAAAATATGTTATTTTTAACACGAAATGGATTCTTACACTAAACTAAAGAAAACTACCAATCAAACTAGAATGTAAACGTAAAGAACTATATTAAAAGTGCAAACTATTAACATTTACCATAAATTTTTTGAAACTTTGTATCACAATATACATATATATAGGTGTAATAATAAATTTGAAATAGCTACTCCTATAGTCGGTTTGGTTCGGTTTTTTTCTTCTTAAAACCAAAACCAAACCAAATTTGATCGGTTTTTAAAATTCAAAACCAAAACCAAACCAAACAAAAAAGTATCGGTTTTTTTGGTCGGTTTGGTTTGGTTTTCGGTTTGATTCGGTTTTTTGGGTTTTTATGAACACCCCTAAACCTAAAGTGCTCACGATCATTAGAGAATATCTATGCGAATTTATATGAGACATGTTGGGAAGGATTCCGACGAGAGGGGAAATCGTAACCCTAGACCTTTCCAATCTTGTCTACAACATTTGCTTTGTTAGTAGTAAAATTACAGCTTTTTAATTACCTCGCTTTTAGTTAGTAAACACTCAACTCATTATTCAATATTTCTGGAAGTTGATTACTTGAATTCTTGTGAAACTAGCAGTTGTGATTAGTAGGTTAATTCCCTGTGGGATTCGACTCCGGACTTGTAAACCGAATTATATTTACAACGACCGCTTAGTCCTTTTTATAAGACATAATTGGGCGTGATCACCTACTAACTTAACTAGTTTTATTTCTTATTGGTTACTGAGGAAGGACACTATAAATCAAAAGATTCTCTCCATTCTCTCAAATTCGAAACTAATTCTTCCATCTCATTTTATGAGACACGGTTACTATTTACAAAATCAAAAGAATTTTTATTTGGTTGTTATTTTCTCCTAGTCTTGAATTATTAATTATTATGATTTAAAATATATTTTTTAAGTTTCTATCTAAACGTACAAATTTTAATTTAAAAATCTTAAATTTTTTGTGTTCGAATTTATATTAAAAATTACTTTGCTTATAGCCCGTTTGGCCAAGCTGCAAAAATCAGCTTATTTTGAGAAGTGTTTTTTTCTCAAAAGTGCTTTTCTCAAAAGTACATTTGGTGAGAAGCAGTTTGTGTTTGGCTAATTAGTTTGAAAAGCACTTCTGAGCAGCAATTAGTGTTTGGTCAAGCTTTAAAAAACTGCTTCTAAGTATATTTTTCTCAAAAGTGCTTCTCAAAAAAGTACTTTTGGAGAGAAGCTACTTTTTTCTGCTTCTCCAAAACTGTTTCTGCTTCTCCTCAAAAGCACTTTTTTTCCTTCCAAAATCTTGGCCAAACACCTCAACTTTTTGCCAAAAAAACAAAAAACACTTTTGGCTAAAAAGAAGCTTGGCCAAACAGGCTATTAATCTTGTACTCCAAATGATGTTAGATAAAGTGAAACGGAGGGAGTATTTATTGCTCATCTCACTATAGCTCTCCATGATAAACATGTGTGCTAATCACTACCTAATCACGGCAAGTCACCTAATATAACACCTTGTCTTCTAGAAACAAAGGACTCCCCACCCCACACGAATATGCTTCTGTGCGCACGAGTGAAGAATATATTATTTCTGTCTATAATTACCTTGATAATTGTGACTCAACTGTCGTAGAAGTGTGAAATTGAACATGTGTTTTCATTCATATAAAAACGTCGAGAAAAAAAGAGCATCAAATCTGTAATAAAAAAAAGTAAAAAAACGTCGAAAAACAACAAAAATGTCGAAGTCAGCAGTCCCACCGCCCTCCTTCCCCACACCTCGTAACAAATAAAGACACATTTCCCCAGCCTTAACGCGCTAATCTCCCACCCTTCTTCCCTTTTTCCAATTTTGTCCTCCTCATGCACACTTTCCTTTCACTTTCTCCATTTTTTCCTTCTTCTCCAATTTTTTTTAAATTTTCTTGTGATTTTTCTGAGCCCCCTTTTAAAATTCCTCGGAACAAAAAAATTACTACATCGGTTTATTTTATGTGATAGTTTTTTTTTATAATTTATTTATGTTTATATGGCTTAATTTTTCATTTTACGTGCTCTTATATGAATAAAAATATTAATACCAAAAATGTAATTAGTAACAACAACAACAACAACAACCCAGTGAGATCCCACATGTGGGGTCTGGGGAGGGTAGTGTGTAGTAGACCTTACCCCTACTCCGGAGGAGTAAAGAGGCTGTTTCCGGTAGACCCTCGGCTCAAGAAAGAAAGAGACAATGTATCAGTAGCAGCAAAGGAATCCTAACATATAACACCAACAACGCAATAACCAGAAAATAGAGAGCAAAGTATTAACACTAAACATCAACAAAGGCACAATACTACATACGCAAGGGAATAATATGTACATACAGGGCCGCTAAACCTACTTAAGCCTAACTTTTCGACCCTAAAGAAGTATTAAGAACACAACTAGAGCCCCTAGCAGCCTACAGCAAGACACTATCACACTAGCCTTCTGTCTCCTAACCTACAACCCTGGTGCTCGACCTCCACAACTTCCTATCAAGGGCCATGTCCTGGGAAATCTGCATCTGCATCATGTCCTGCCTGATCACCTCTCCCCAATATTTCTTAGGCCGCCCTCTACCTCTCCTCATACCCGTCAAGGCCAGCCGTTCACACCTCCTCACCGGTGCATCCAGGCTTCTCCTCCTCACGTGCCCGAACCATCTAAGCCTAGCTTCCCGCATCTTGTCTTCCATGGGAGTCACGCCCACCTTCCCCCGAATATCGTCATTCCTAATCTTATCTAGCATAGTGTGTCCGCACATCCATCTCAGCATCCTCATCTTTGCAACTTTCATCTTCTGGATATGGGAATTCTTCACTGGCCAGCACTCTGGACCATACAACATGGCCGGCCTAACCACCGTTCTATAGAACTTTCCTTTAAGTTCCGGAGGCACCTTCCTGTCACACAAAACACCAGACGCTAGCCTCCATTTCATCCACCCCACTCCTACACAGTGCGTAATATCCTCGTCAATATCCCCATCCCCCGAATAATTGACCCCATGTACTTGAAACTCCCTGTAATTAGTGTGTATCAAAATTAATTTTTTCTTAATTTTATTATATTATTTGAAATCATTGAATTTATTATTTGAGTATGATTTTATCAGGCACCGCATCTTCTCTATCATTTACATAATATCTATAATATCTTTTTGGACATATATTTATATTTAACTTTCATATTTGGAAAGAATAGTATTTATAACAAGACAAACCAAACTTGGTATTCTTCCAACCACCCAATATATAGCCATCATTTATTTCAAAGTTCAAACCCCCAATCCTCATCCTTTAAAGCTCTTATTATATATACTTCTTCGCCTCCTAATTCCTCATCACTCTACTTTTCATATTCTCTTCAACACGTCTTCTATTAATTCAAATTTCTGCAACATCACATCGAATTTGGACCTCTGGGTGTCTCGAGAAAATGGAGTCTGAAACTTTAAGAGATGAAGTGGAAGTCATCGGAAAATTAACCGAAGAATTCACAGAGCTACTAAAGATGAAACAACAGATGATAATCGAAGATCAAACAGAACAATATAATGATGATGATGAGTTTGAAGATGGTGACGATGAAGAAGAAGAAGAAGAAGAGGAGGAGGAGGAGTTTTCTTTTGCGCGTATGACAGACGCGCCGCCGATAGCGGCGGAGGAGGTGTTCTACAACGGTCAAATCCGACCCCTTTTCCCGTTATTCAATCAAAACCTTCTTTTGTCCGAGGATGATTTGGAAAAATTGAAGGAGCGGTCACCGGTAAACAAGATATTTATACAAACGGAAGAAAATTCTCCGGCAACTTCCTCTTCATCGGAAAATCAAGAAATAGCTGGACCGTTTTGTGAATGGTCAAAAGATAATAAGGCAATTGAAGCTTCTTCTTCTTCTTCTCCTGAGGTATGCAAAAAGAGTAACTCAACAGGATTTTCAAAGCTGTGGAGATTCAAAGACTTTCTTCACCGGAGTAACAGTGATGGACGAGACGCCTTTGTGTTCTTGAACCCTACCCCAACTACTCCGGCGAAGACAGAAGAAAAAGTCAAAGTCAGCGAGCAAATGCTAACGCAGAAGAATAAAAAGAAGAAGAAGGGTACTGTTGTAAAGAAGAGTGAAGGTGTGTTAGCACATGAAGCATACATGAAGAGTAAAGCTAAGGATGAAGATCGCCGGCGATCGTATCTTCCTTACCGGCCGGAGCTCGTCGGATTTTTCACTAATGTGAACGGCGGATTAACGAGGAACGTACATCCATTCTAAATAAAAATTGGTGCAATGGACTTAGTCTTAAGTTTTTTTAGTTTTTTTTTTCTTGGGTTGATGGAAATCATTAATTTTTTTAATATTATAGCGTCGTAGTTGGTTTTGGAAGATATGTTGTCAATAATTAGGTCGGTTTGATTAGGTCAATATGGCTTAAGCCTTAAGGGATATAGGTATAAGTTGGCCTTTTTTTCCCTTTATTTGAGCTTTGTAAATCTTAGTAGGCGTTTGGCCATGAATTTTAAAATAAATTTGAAATTTGGAATTTTATTAAAATTTGAATTGAAGATAAAGTTGTGTTTGGTTATGATTTTTGCAACATATTTGAATGTCATTTTTTGCAAAATCATGAAATATGATTTATACCCCATAACTTGTAAAAATATTAAAACCGTCCCAATTTAATTATACTACTTGAAACAAACAATCAAACATGCTATTGTTTAGCAATATGGTAGTCGTCACAAGAAAATGGTACATTATCCGCTGCAGTAGCTTCATATGATAGTCGAGGAAAAACACGTGAGTAGTTGTAGGTTAATAATTGATGAGGTCATTTTATAAATTTTAAAAGTATAGGGTAAATTTGTAAAATTAAAAACTAGTGAAAATACATTTTCAATTGAAAAACTTGTAAGAACCAGTTTTTCAAATTTGAAAATACATTCTCATGTAAAATTAGAAAAATTGATAAGATATGGATAACCAAACATTGTTTTCAAATTTTTTTTTGGAAAAAAACAAAAAAATTGTGTGTCCAAACGGGCTCTTAATTTACCATTTTCGTTTTACTACTTTTGCAAACCTTTGACCATCTATTGGTGGTTGTATAATTAATATTTACATTTGATAAGGATATATTATGCATTCAATTTTAACAAAAGAAATGAATTAGATTTATAATTACATGGATATGAGTTATCTCAAAAGAAATCATTGCAAACTTGTATAAGATGGATTCATATAGGAAACACCAACAAGTTGCGATTAAAATATTATTGTTACACTTATATTAGATACAAAGGGTCATATAGTAGATTTAAATTTGGTTTTAGATTTGGCAGAATAGTTTGACAGACACCTATAATTGTTTGTGTTTGTTATCCCGGCTCATGTACTTAACATAGTTTCATCTAGACACATGAACCGGTCAAAACATGTGTGCTAAACCCCTCCGACATTACGTGTTGGTCACTCGCCCTGACATAGAGAAAAATCATGTCCACATCAGATAAATTAATGCCACATCTATATTTATTTAAATATTCCAAATCCATTTCCATCTTCCTATGCTGTCGGCCACCCTTATCACCGGGAAACAGACGGAAAATACATAGAGACGCCTCTACCATTTTGCTCTCTTTCCTCCTTTTAAGCACAATCTTGAACCCCAACTCATATATTATACTCTTCAATTTTCATAAAAAGTTTCTATCTTGCTCAGAAGCGGCTCAATAGAGCAGTTGGCCTAAAGCCAAATCTTAACATGAGGCCTTAGACGTATTTAATAAATTCTCATATTTATCTTTTCGAAGTTTATTTTTTGGTTTTTTCGGATGTAAAATTGCTAATTATTTGTTTATGATCAATTTTTATAGAGCAATTTTTTTTTTCAATTGATAAAGTAACGACTCCACTTACTCTTTATTGAAACTTTATTGATCTTAAATAAGATTTTCTTAATTATAATTTTGATTACGGCCTTCCAAAGCAACGATCATGTGTTAAATACTTATGTTCTAACTTTGAGATTTTGTACGAGCTAATTTACTTGAAACATAATTACAGTAGCCTGAAAAGAAAAAAAATATACAAAACTAAAGTAGTAAACCAAAGTAATTCAAATTAGAGTAAAATAAGTACTACAAATTAATAGCAGATTAATTTGTCTACCACTTCTATTCACAATTACCTCAAGCACATCTATTAAAAAAAATATAAAATATGTAACTATGTGACTAATGACTTTTGTACGTTGGCAGTAAATGATAGGGAAAAAAATTCTTAGAATTACTCATAACTATTCGTAGTAATTATTTAATATTTATAGATATAACATATGTTATAATTTATAGGCATTATTTTATCCCATACATTATTTGAAACTTTATTACCCTTAATGTTTATATTTAGTTAATTACCCGGCATAAACAAGTTTTGTTTACAAAATATATACAATCCACCTTAAAAGGCTCCCAATCCATTATTTGTGCCTTTAATCAAGGGTGTAGTTATACCCTTTTCCTTTTTTTTTCTCCTCTTCTCTTTCCTTATGTTTCCACTCATATGTTTTCTCACAAATCACTTCTGATTTTTCAATCTCTTCGTCAAAATCAAAAACAATTTTCATTAGTTGGTTCTCTTCCAAAAGTTTCAAAATGATGTTTGTAAATAACCTCAGAGCTTTAGTTTCTTTTTTATTTTCTTGATTCAACAAATAACTTCCCATTGCTATCAACAAAGCAGAACAGAGATTGAAATAGATGCCAATCCATCTTCAGAACTCTAGCCTGAAAATAGAGCAATTCAATTGGAGCAGACTCTAGAATCTATTAGGCACAATTCCGATCATAATACATCCACTGCATGCGACTTGGTAAGACAAAAAGAATATAGAAAGTTAAGCATATAAGATCATAGTGAGCATTCAAACATACACATACATGAAACAAACAAAATTCTCAATCAAAGAAAGAGATGGTTAATCGATTAACATACGCGTGTCCTCCTCCACTTCGCTCCGCCAACTACATTTACACGAGCTGACAAAGGAACTTTTGGGTTGAAACAAGCTATTTCAATCTTAACATGCTTCCCATCTAACTGCAAATTGTTATACATTTTATGTGCTTGGAATGCATCACTTCTCATTAACAACTGCACGTTGTCAGTTTGTTAACATATTAAGAATTCATTTATATGCACACAATTTATTCATGGGAATTTTTTCGTACACTATCCAGTTAAATACAACTACAATAACATACAACTTAAAGACAAATTTTATACAAAATTTGTACAATATGTCTTTTTGCATATTTTGTATATGATTTATACATAGTAAAAATAAATTTCATACAACTAATTATATATTATACAATTTATCTACAACTTTCACACATAATTTCTGCCCAGTTAAATACAACTACAATAACATACAACTTAAATACAATATGTCTTTTGTATATTTTGTGTCTGATTTATACATAGTAAAAATAAATTTTATACAACTAATTACATATTATATAACTTATCTACAATTTTCATTACATATTTTTTANAATTACAACTACAATATCATACAACTTAAATATAATTTTTATACAATGTTGTTCAACATTCATACAATAGTTAAATGAATAAAAGAAAAATATATAAACAACAGAATACAATTTTTCTACAATTTTTGTTACAATTTCCGCAGTATAATGTATGTCATGCCTCCTTCTTCTTCTTCTTCTTCTTCTTCGATTTCAATTTGAAATTCAGCCAAAACCAAGTCTAATCTTCACCAAAACCCCTCAAAATTGAGATATAAACTCGAAACCATATTCCCAATTATTTGCAACAACACCCAATCTAAACAAATATTGATTTTTGAAAACCCAAATTCGAATTCAAAGCTTCAAAGCTTTTTAATGGCTGTCAATGGTGGAATTGCTGCTCTCTTTTTCTTTGCTTTACATTACTGAAATTTGGGATTGCGAGATAGAGAGAGACGTAGAGAGAATTCTCAATTCTTTGCAACAACATCCAATTCAAACAAATAATTTTTTTTTAAAACCCAAATTCGAATACAAAGCTTCAAAGCTTTTTAATGGTTGTCAATGGTGGAATAGTTGCTCTCTTATGCAAGATATGTTGGGGAGGGGGGTAGAATGTGGAGAGAGAAACGCGGGGGAGTGGAAAATATATTAGAGTAATTTTAGGACACTAATTATTATCATTAATTCTCTTAAAATGTACATAAATGGTAATTGGGTATATAAAATGTAATTATAGTAAAACTTGAGTAGGGAGAATAATATAGTTTCATATAGTGTATAAGAATGTAAAAATTCCTAATTTATAAACATAAAAAATGAGTAAATTTTGGGGCCTCCTATTTTTGGGGGCCTAAAGCTACCGCTTTAGGGGTCGAGCCGGCACTAAATTCTTGCTTCATCTTCTTACTCTTACTATTTTAGGTAAAACTCAAATCACCATAATAATGTTGAAATTTACACTCTATTTTCATTTTCAGTATAATCTTAATTAAGAAAAAAGATCAGGAGGGTATAGGGGTAGAAGGGGGGAAGGGGGAGGGTTCAATAGGAAGGAGGGGGGAGAAGCAGATGGGAAAAACGGGGGACAAGTAAGGGGTTCAAGACAGTTGGGGCCGAAGGGGGATGATCTGCATCTGCTTAGGCTGGGCAATTAGTTTACTCTTTTTGTTTTTTGTTGTTATTTTTTATGATTTTTAATATTTTTTAAATTAAAATTAGTACATCCACTCCCCTTTTTAGAGTGTGTAATTACTCATTTTTTTGACTCAGCAAAGGAGTTTAAAATATATGTTTTGACTGAATTCAATTGTCTGAATGAAACTATATTAAGTATATGGGCGGAATGACAAACAGGAACAAGCACATGTATCTATTAGGCTATTTTGCCTTTAGATTTAGATGTAACTGTTAGCCTAGCAAGGAGAAGAGTAGAACTAATCAGTGATACTCAATAAGATAGATATTTCTCCGTTCTACTTTTATATTATTTTCTTATTATTATGTTAAAAAAGAATGATATTTTTTTATATAGAGGATAAGATCTCATAAATTTTATTTATAGGTCTAATGTGTGTGACATCATAGACGAATCTCACGTTAGACAAAACATGAGAAAGATGCTAGGTATATAAAAAAAAGAAACTTTTAGAAATCACTATGTTTTAGTGGTTATTAGCTAGTTGTAGCTACCATTTACTATATTACTTCCTATAGCTATTTTTTCAGTTTTGT